TCCAACTACAACAAGGATTGTTGATGTTCCCATATGCCACATTTTCGAGATTTATTATTATTATTATTATTATTATTATTATTTCTTTTGATTTCCGTTGTATACTCATTTCTTTCCGGATCAAAAACCCGAAACCTAAGGTCAGAAATGGCATCATGACATATTCAAATGAGCATTTTGAATTGTTGATCTCCTCACTTGCCACATTTTTGAGATTTCGATTTCAAGGATTTTTTTGAAGATCTTCAAAAATACATTAGAGTCTGCAGGGACTGCCATCTTAATAAGAAGATATATTCTGTTTTTGCGGTCGCTGATCACGATGTCTGGGCGATTAGCTTTGATTGTTCTGCCTGTGTGTCCCATAAAATTTTTACAGGTCCTATATCTGTAATCTGTTCTGGATGGTGTTCATACCAATATTTTGCAGTTTCCATCCCGTAAATGTTGCATATTCTCCAGTGCGGATATCAACTCACTCCATCATGCTTTTATATTCAGTTGATGCTAACACCGTGCAACCTGATACAAAATTGTCAATTGTTTCTGAATCACAAAATCTGCATTTGGGGTTAACACAATTTTTTCAGTATATGTGCTTGGTAATTTCTAGTTAGCAAGCATTGGTCCTGTGCAGCAAGAATAAAACCATTGGTTTCAGCTTTTAACCCAGCACTACGCAACCATTGATGGGTTACGGGGTTTCTCTACATCAGTTTGTTTGGTATGGGTAGAGTATTGACCATGAAGAGGTTTCTCTTACCATCCTTTCTGCATTTGGTACAATATAAATATTAACAACTACAACAACTTGTTTGAAAATGTCGCGAAGAGAACTTCAGGAAAGTGTCGGCCCCTTTGAATAATTAAATCTTTACCCGATAAACCAGGCAACTTTGTACGGATTTCTTATCCTGTACAGTAACAACTGGACGCTAGACGCAAATCATGAAAGCTCGCTCTCAAACACAAACTAACAAAACATGAGTCCCCGGTGAATCAACTGGAGGCGGCACCGAGTTCGAAAAATCAACAAACCAGCCCCTAAACCCCTTCAAAATCAGCTGCAATTCAAACCAAGGATGTTCCTAAATCTGATGCGCATGTTCAACCATCAAGACCAACCCACACTAAAGTAAACACCCGACAAAAATAGACAAAAGAGGAATATGTGGAAATTATTAATGCATTTTTCTTTGTAGCATTACACCCAAATATAACAACCAGTGAAAAAGCAAGCTGCAAAATATGGAGTACAAGGAATGCAGATAACAGACTCTCTCTTGACAGCAAGAAACTAGCAACGGTAAGACGTGACATGTTGATCAACCAAAGGCACACCGACAACACAATCACAAAACATAAATGATCAATAGAGAATGAACTCTTAGCTAACCAACTAAATGTATTCACGAACCAATACACAATTGCTGTTCATGAACCAAATAATGAATTTTTAACTTAGAAACCTGAAATTTCTGTAATTTAAACAGAAGCACACTAAAGGTTCATTGAAGAGATCACACCTTGTTGTAGAGTGATTTCACAGTTGAGGCTTGTATTTGTACTAAGTCGATCCTAAAATAGGTTCGACGTACAAAACGTTAGGAACTTGATATAATAAGTATAACGCAGAGAAATCTAGTTGTGGTGGCTGATACTTTAGTATCCGACTAACGGTCGTCCGGCATCGATTGACTGACCGACACACTCAGCGACGATATTTATTATTGTATGTACAGCAAATGTGGCACAAGGCCAAAAGGGAGATTGGGGTAAAGGACGGTCATCACTTGTTTTAATTTTAAACTTAGCTAGCCACACGACCCACTCAGCGACTGAATCGTTACTCTTTCTTACTACTTCTACTTATTATAGGTGGGAGAATCTATTAACTATAGAATAGGTGTGTTCCACTGTAACACACCTCTAATGATGAGACTCTATTAAACAAAATTTTGAACCGGCACCTAATCATGGAGGACGGTGGAGTAATGGATAGTGGCTCGGATTTGAGGAATCGGGGAGCCGAGTTCGATTTCCAGTCGAATCCATTACATTCTATTACCTTTAGAATGTAGGGGATCCTCTTCTTCTCTCCGCCAGCTATGGGTAAATAACATGTCAGACTGGGTTCTGTAGCTTTGGGTGGCAACTGGTCTACCACAGAAAGAAATATCAACCTACTACGGAAAAAAAATCTGCGTAATGGCACATAACTGACTGACCTAATGAACACTTGGCAACCATTATATAACAGACTATCCCTACCGAAGACACAAAACAACAACAAAAATAAAACGGTGATATTAAAGGAAAATGAATCCATTGAAAAAAATTATACCAGCCATACTCGTAAAACATGAAGATAAAACTGACTGGCCTTTAAGAACCCGCAAGTTGAAGTAACAAACGTGTGTAAACTTAAAACTGCGATTATCTCTGTTATGATAATGACATTGGGTATGGTAAAGAAGTGTACCAAAAATCATGTGAGTAAAATTCCTGGACACATCAGCATCTCAGAGCGACAACAGATTTTACTTATTAGTTTGTGAGGAACTACACACATTATCCTCAAAACTTTCTCCGTCTAAACGAAACGTCCCAAATTAGCATAGATAACTTACCTACAGTACCATTTTTATTCATAGACCCCAGAGGGAATTTGGTAATTAGGCACTTGAAATTACTCTCTGGCAAGATGATAGCACACATAATAATAAAAAAAATAATATTAATAATAATAATATTTTCTTTGATTTCTGTGCATACACATTTCCTTCCAGGTCTCAATCAGAGACCTAAGGTCAGAAATGGCTTCATAGCATTTTCTACTGATCAGTTTTATAAAAAAATAAATAATTTTTAAAATAACCTCAGATCACACAGATTTTACACTAATAAAGCCATTCGCAATGTTTGAGCTGTACTTTTGAGTACAATATTTTGTTATTTTTTAAGGAATGAGCTACCAGGAACCCCTTCAGTGAGTCTATCGGAACCTTTTCCTGTCAATCCGAGGGCTCCAACTACAAGTGGAATTATTGATGTACTCATATGCCACATTTCTGAGTCTTCAAGACCCTTTTATTTAGATATTATTATTATTTTCTTTGATTTCGGGCGTTTACACATTTCTTTCCGGGTCCCACCTAGGGACCTAAGGTTAGAAATGGCATCATGACACTTTCCACTGACAATGAAAAAAAATTACATAGATAAAGCACTTCGTAAAGTGTGGGCTGTACTTGTCAGAACAATTTTTTGTATCTCCTTGAGGCATGGACTTCCAGGAATCCCTTCAATTAATCTACTGCAATCTTTTCCAACAAGTCCTAGGGCTCCAACTACAACAAGGATTGTTGATGTTCCCATATGCCACATTTTCGAGATTTATTATTATTATTACTATTATTATTATTATTATTATTATTATTATTATTATCATTATTATTATTATTTGAACAAACAAGTCTAATATCTGGCGGGAAATTAAAAAAGGAATCAGATAAACGTAAAGTTAAAATAAATTTTATCGAGAAAAAACAATGAAGAAAAAATGCACGTCGACTCATAAATAAAAAAGAAATATTATTTTGATATTTTTGCATGCCTGAGGGTTGATGGGTCGTCAAGGATACTATGAAGAAGTCGATGATCTAAAATGTCTGAAGACCCCTTTACTAAACATTGCTAAATGAGACTTTCTGAGAGACATTCAAGCACGTCCATTTTTTATATTTTTATTATCTAAAGATATTTTTTTTTTAATGAACGAAGGCGACATGCAGTCGTGTTTCGGTTTAACATTCCCAGTATGAAGCCTAATTATAAAGAATATTTATCCTTTCCTGCTAAGGAACGCGTGTTCTAATTGTTTTCTTTTGCGTGGTGGGATGTAACAGATGTGACCCAATAAAGAAATTGGTTTTTCAATTTCCTAACGAACGGCAGGGTCCCTATCTGAATGCTTCTGAGATATCTAAGGGTAATCAATGCAGTTTTCCACGAACTAAAATTTTCCAGTAGTTGGCTGTTCATGGACAACACTGTAATTTTTTTTTTTTCACAATTTTTGCAGCTCTCGAATAATCTTGATATTTATTTAATTTCCAATTTGCTTTTAGCTTTAACCTATGGTATGCGGGAACGAGTCTATTCGTTAATTGACATTCCCATTTCTTTGTCTATCTTTCTGTCTGTCCCAATAACTGGGTCCGGTTTCTTAGATTTAACAGGAAGGTTAAATTTTCAGTAAAGTTTCTTGCTGGCAGAACCAAATTCATTTGCACTGTTCCTCATGGGTTAATCTTCCCACACGTTCATGCATGCTTCTAACTTTCCTTTTACTGTATGCATTAATAATGTATGCTGTCGTCAGATATCTCTTTCTTCGCGTAGACAATATATTCTACTTTTTTTTCTATTCCATCAAATTCGTTTATTCTTGAAACTGGAAAGACTGTGCGAGCCATCGCCCCGCGCCATGTTGATTTTCGGCAAAAGTGCGAACGACGTGCGGTCAATTCTTCATAGATTAGCATCGATTCCTTTTGACCTTGCTTGTTCTCATTCTTCTTGAAAATGTCCCGGTGTCGTCTAATATTGTTTTTCATCGCCTCCACATCATCGCCATTATTTAATAACTTTTCCATGCGTAACTCAGACGGCTGCTTCGGCGACCATTGTGGAGTTTGAGCTCCAAGAGAATATACGGAGAAAGAAATAACTTGCTTTGCATCTTTCTGAATAGTCGTCTGTCAAATAATAAAGGGTATACATTTTGAATAGATGTCGACTTTAGATCTGAGGAAAAGTATCAAAGAGAATTTCTCATGACTGACGTGGGTAGCCATTGCGGTAAGGTACATCGACGACGAGAATTGTTCTATGATATATGGCTGGGTGGGGACAAGTGTGCAGCAGTTAGGCGAAATATTCAAAGAGTAATTAGTATTCAATGACTATAAATATTCTTCTTTAGTATTATGGAAGTGTTAGATAGATAGATAGATAGATAGATAGATAGATAGATAGATAGATAGATAGATCATTCCCGGTCTTTTTAACAGTAAAGGTTTCCTGTTCAGATATGTGTTTCTGGTTCATTCTAAAGTCTACTTCCAGACTATACTTCTAATGTCTCCGCCTGAATTCTGAAATGTTATTCACTAATTAAATTTTGACCTATTCAAGTTTAGAGTTAGCTTTTATCTTTCCTGCATAGCGCCAGGAACCTCACTTCTTACCCTTTCTTACCCTAATGCAACATCTCACAGTAACTCTCTGTCTTGAGTGGCTCTTAGGCTTTCTATTGTATGAACATTAGCACAAAATATATATAAAAGCATAGATAGATAAGAAAAGTCTGCAATAGATAGATAGATTAATAGATAGATAGATAAGTCTACAATAGATAGATAGATAGATAGATAGATAAGAAAAGACTGCAATAGATAGATAGATTGATAGATAGATAAGTGTACAATAGATAGATAGATAGATAGATAGATAGATTAGAAAAGACTGCAACAGATAGATAGATTGATAGATAGATAGATAGATAAGTGTACAATAAATAGATAGATTAGAAAAGACTGCAATAGATAGATAGATTGATAGATAGATAAGTCTACAATAGATAGATAGATAGATAGATTAGAAAAGACTGCAACTGATAGACAGATTGATAGATAGATAAGTGTACAATAGATAGATAGATAGATTAGAAAAGACTGCAGCAGATAGATAGATTGATAGATAGATAAGTCTACAATAGATAGATAGATAGATAGATAGATAGATAGATAGATTAGAAAAGACTGCAACTGATAGATAGATAGATAGATAGATAGATAGATAGATTAGAAAAGACTGCAACTGATAGATAGATTGATAGATAGATAAGTCTACAATAGATAGATAGATAGATAGATTAGAAAAGACTGCAACTGATAGACAGATTGATAGATAGATAAGTGTACAATAGATAGATAGATAGATAGATAGATTAGAAAAGACTGCAACAGATAGATAGATTGATAGATAGATAGATAGATAAGTGTACAATAGATAGATAGATTAGAAAAGACTGCAACTGATAGATAGATTGATAGATAGATAAGTCTACAATAGATAGATAGATTGATAGATAGATAAGTCTACAATAGATAGATAGATAGATTAGAAAAGACTGCAACTGATAGACAGATTGATAGATAGATAAGTGTACAATAGATAGATAGATAGATAGATAGATAGATAGATAGATAGATTAGAAAAGACTGCAACTGATAGATAGATTGATAGAGAGATAAGTGTACAATAGATAGATAGATAGATAGATAGATAGATAGATAGATGATTGAACAAACTAACAGGCAAGAGTTGTAGGTAAGGCTAAGTTCACCTTTTCATTAATGTTCTTAAAAAAAAGGCATACACTCATTTTCTCTTTGCATTCTGTCATATTGGCAGACAACTTTATAGGTATTCTCACTGATATACTACAATGTTTAATAACGAAATATCGGAGACCTTCATTTTTGTTCCTTTTCAATTATAATCACTGAAGACCTGAGACGGGTTGAGGTTATAACGTGTTCAACCCAAACAAAACACATCTCGAATGCTGGTAATCCCTCCTCACTTTAAAGCCTAACGTTATATTTCTTTCTTTCTTTGGCCCTGTGTCGTACTAAATGGGTAATTCGCTATAGAATAAGGGCTAACTAGTCTTGCAAACTGTTACTAATATAATAAATTACATTCTTCCTGATGTGGGAAATGGGGATGGTGGTGGATATGGGGTTATTGCGTTTGACCAATGCAGGTGCATTGCGTACACACAACAGTATGTTTACAATAAACAGTATTAATAACGGTTTCAGGCCGGTTATTACGGTTCATTATAAACAGAGCTTTTACTTAAATAGATGTGTCTATATATAAATAATGTATAAAAATTAAATATATTAAAATAATTGTCTGAGTTAGTCCATTTTATAATATATGACGTCATTTGATTACGTTAAGATACGCTTCGAGCTGATATAAACGTTCAAAATAAATCATGGCAAATTTGTAATTAAATACATATATATATATATATATATATATATATATATATATATATATATATATATATATAAAAGTGTATTTAAAAAAAATATCCACATTACAACCAAAAACGTTTGCGGTTTCACTCTTCTTTTAATATACACACTTTTCTCTCGTTGGAACTACTATAATCTTTCTTCCTTTATATATATATATATATATATATATAATAAAGTATATTTAAAAAAATATCCACATTACAAATAAAAACGTTTGCGGTTTCACTCTTCTTTTAATATACACACTTTTCTCTCGTTGGAACTACTATAACCTCTTTCCCTTTATATATATATATATATATATATATATATATATATATATATATATATATATATATAACCCGGTTCGAATCTCACCATGATTGATTTGTCAGGAAGGAGACTTCCTGATGTTATCGGAATAGATTGAGGTCGATCCCAGTGTGCGGCACCTTTAAAAGTGCCTGAAACTATACCATGGGTTGACCGAAGCCCTGTGCTTGAAATTGGTTAGACATAACTCTTGGGGTGCGTCGATAGCTGTTCTAGTAAAAATCATAAGTCATCGTGGCTGAGGGCTTGAGTGCGCTGACCTTGTTCAAATTGGTAATCACGCTAGATAACACGCTTTCTCTCAGAAACTCTAATTAAGGTCTTCTCAGCAGAGTTGCAGTATAAATCACAGCTGGGTGTTGTGGGTGTTGAGCAAACACAAATGTGCTTGAGTGAGCGTCTGTGATAGGGATTGGCTAGCTGCCCTAATAGACGGGTATCCTCGAATACGAGTGGCCAGCTATATATATATATATATATATATATATATATATATGTGTGTGTGTGTGTGTGTGTGTGTGTGTGTGTGTGTGTGTGTGTGGCACCATTTACCAAGGCAAAAAGAAAAGAAAGGAAAGAGAGGAAGGAAAGAAAGGAAAAGAGAGGCGAGACCCAAAGCGTGGATGATAAGTAGGACACCCACAATGGATAAGGATATTTTGATAAGTAGCAAATGGCAAAAACTGTCATTACAATGGCAGAAAAATTCTAAGTGGATAAAGGAATCGGGTGTGTTCTGGCGACGGGCTTGTGTTATCGGGGATACATAAGCAAGCCGCTAATGCGGGAAGACATCTGATTAGCAAACCACAGACCGACTAGCCAAAGAAAAATCCAATTGAAAATGTTATTTTGATAATTGACAAAAAACAGGTGAACTACAGGGCTTTGGATAGATATGAAAAATGAATTGTGTCAAAGCCGCACACGAGGTGGCGACTGACCGTTTTCTTTCGACAGAACATCTTTAGCCCGTGATAACAAATTATGTTATCAGTAATGTGCACCAAAGAGTGACTGGAACCATGGAAATGTTTTGTTTTTTTTTCGAGGCGACGGACGATTGTGTTGTGTCAAATAGACCACCCATTCTGATAATTAGCGATAATCTGACTGACGAAGTCCAGATGAGAACAAGGGTTATAATCACCACCGGTCGTATTGTTCTGTTGGTGGCCAGAGAAAATGAGAACTACGATTAAAGAAAGAAAAAGAAAAGAAAAAGATCATTTATTTTTTAGCAAGATATATATTTTTTTCCCTGAAACAAAGCCCGCGGGATCGTACACGCCCGGCTGGAGATCATTGGCCGAGTGGTGATCACGTGACGCAAGGAGGAAGCTGCCACCGCCCATTTAGAGGATGGGTATGAGAGGCCGCCACGAGGAAGTGGGGAGGGCAGTTCACGCCCCTCTGAAGTATGGTGAGAAGGTGGGAGTAAGAGAAGGCTCTCAAAAAAGAAATGGAAAGAAGTGGAAAATTCCTAACCAAAAATAAAAGAAGTGGATAGGCATTTAAAATTATCGAGGAACCCCCGGCGCCGACAAACCCACCCCGGTTTTGGTCGGCGTCCATATAAGCAAGGTCGCAGCGAGCAGAAATGAGTTCGAGTTCCAGAGTTGAGTTCGGGAGAGACAGTTCCCAGAGTCAGTCTCCAGTGCTCAGTTGAATCAAGCCTCGCATCGGCTGACCAAGATTCGCGCAATTTCCGGACTCATCTTCAATCCAAGAACAATTATTTTGAAGAATTATTTTGAAAAAAACTTATTTTGGTGGTCTGGATCTAAGTGATCCAGACCACCAAAATAAGTTTTTTCGACTTTCGCCCGAAGACACACCGAAAAAACAATTTCTTAAAGAGCAAACAACTTGAAGTGTTAAAACTCGCCTAACGGAAAACAACGTGTCACAATCCATAGAACAGGTCGGGAGATAGACGCGGTCCCATGTATCCAACAACCAGACATAAAGTTTGTTATCCTTTTTTCTGATACCTGAACTTTGAGTTATCATTTTATTTCTTTTATATTATATTTGTGCGATACCACCCCCGCTTGAACCCAACTTGCATACGGCCCTAACGACTGATTGATTTCGTCTGCCTAAGATCAATTCACAACGTGGGTAGGCAGACTGGAGATCAACGCAGTTACTTTGGTAACCAGACGTTGGAAGCGAATTGGGAACGACGAGGCTGATATCGAATCTAACCAGATTCCCATCCGAATCACCAAAAGGTTAGAATGTCACATTTGGGTGCCGCGACCGATACCAGTTGGTCGTCACGGGACGAGACAACACGACTGACGCGACAGGCGGTCGTCACGTTTGGAGCGGCGACACCCGAACGAAGCAGCGAGGAGCGAGCGAAGGCTGTGTTTAGGGACGTCACATATATATATATATTATAAATTAATTGATTTAAAATATGGGTTTTTTTTCGCTACACAGTTCTAACCCTGTTTCAAAAATGGAAGCTAAAAGCTCCGAATTTAATTTTGTAATTAAATTAAAGACATTAGTTCCATTTCATCCTAAAGCGAATTTTGGAGTAACTTTTAAAATTACTGGCTTTTAAAGACACAGCTAAAATCATAATTTACGTTTCCAAGGTTACAGATGAATCCAGTTTACTAAACGAGGGGTGTCTGCGTGTTCATTATGTCTGTATTTTGATGTATCAGTTATTAGTTACGTTTTGGTAGGGGTAGGGATGTATTTTTCAATGAAATCTAACTTCTGTTAAAAGCATGTCTGGATTTTTTTTTATAAAATAAGTTAGATTTCATTGAAAATAACCTTGGAAATTTGCGGACCCTAGTTACTATATTTCAAATACTTGATATGATGCAAACATGTCACAGTGATAAAATCAGTCAATAATTATTTATAACTATCTATACTGGCACTCATGCATACAATTACAAGTAATCCATAATAATATTTGAAATTTTGAAATCATATTTATTTTTGGCTTATGAATTTTTTAAAACTGCTTCTAAATCTTTGATAGCCTTTCAATTATTCCGCCTCACCTGCTATCCTCTTCCACTGCATCTTATGAGGCGTGCCAAACCGTTTAGGAACCGCTGCTCTAAAATCTAATTTTGTAAAAGGAAAATTTCAGTGAAATATGCTAAAAAACATTCTGAGATTTCATCGAGTATAAAACAAAATGGTTACTATATATGGAAAAAAGGCGCGAGTTTAAACTGACGCCATGTTATATGGTTTAAGCTAAGATGTATCTACCCACCAGACTTATTTATTATTGGCTGTCATAATCTTAACAACATAGAATATGCATATGACACGCTGTTGGTAACAAAAAGAGCAACACTAATGAAAAAGTATGCAATACCTATGTTTTATATATTATGCAAAGGCTTTTGATAGAGTATGTCACGAGGAACCTTTGCAACTGCTTGGTAACCTTGACATATTTCAGAAGGATATTAGAATAATTTAGAATAGCAGCAAACAGCTTGCATACGGATAGAAAATTAATTCAGTAAATATACAAAAATAGAAAGTGGTGTAAGACAAGGATGTGTCTTCCCATTGAACTTATTCAACCTATACAGTGAGTTGATTCTAAGGGAATTAGAAGTTCTAACAAGATTTATTATTGGTGGACACAAGATATAAAGAGTTTTTCATTAAGAAGGATCAAAGTCAATAGTAAATAAATCAGTGTTATTGATGAAAATTTATTTATTTCTCTATTGGATCATTTTATTTAAGTTATGGAAATTATGTGTGAAAAATAATATCGCCGAAATGTCCACCAAATCTGAAAGAAAAAGAAAAAAATCATTAGACATTTAAACTTAAACCACATTAAAATCGGTACCAGATATCAGAACACCCTTTATATATATATAAAATCTGTCTGCGTGCAATCTGTGGAGTTAACCTTCAAGATAGGACATTTAACGTCGACCTGTTTAACAAGTGTAATATTGGAGGAATCGAGACTTTTCTCATACAATCTCAGTTACGGTGGACTGGTCATGTCTTGAGAATGTCTGATGACAGGATACCCAAGATCCTAATATACAGCCAGTTAGATCAGGGCTACAGGAATGTAGGAAGCCCATGACTAAGATACAAAGAAAAGCTGAAAGCAACTTGTCAGCAGTCAATATACCACATAACACCCTTGAGAGCTTAGCTTTGGAGCGGGTAGAATGGAGATCAACGTTTTTTAGTGGACTCAGCATTTTTCAATCTGCTTGTCTGAATCATCTTCAAGAAGCAAGAGCAAGATCTAAAAGGTCAACCAATTTAACAGTGATCGCATCACACAATCCTCACACTTGCTCCATATGTGGCCTCCTTTGTAAATCACTTGCGGGTCTTTAAATGCCACTTAAGATTATCTCACAAAATTTCATAACTGAATCAAGTAATCTGTCAGATCCTCATACGTCAAAACCGACGGAGAGAGTCCATTATATATATATATATATATATATATATATATATATATATATATATATATATATATATAAAATATAAAGGTGTTTCATTAAGACGGATTATATATAAGGGTGTTTCATTAAGACGGATCAAAGTCAGCAGTAAATAAATCAGTTTTATTGGTGAAAATTTATTTATTTCTCAATTGGAACATGTTATTTAAGTCATGGCAATTTTGTGTGAAAAATAATATAGCGCACATGTTGGCCATGGCTACGGTGGCACACCTCCACCCGATGGTCAACATTTTTGATGACGTCTCTGCAAAGTTGCTCCACGATCTTACCAATGTGCTGTTGGATTGTTGTTGGTTTGTTGGTATAAACCTTACTTTTGAGATAACCCCAAAGGAAATTTAAAGGCGTCAAGGTACGATCCTGGTGGCCAATTGACTTCGCTGTTTCGAGAGATTATGCAACCTGGGAACTTCTTATTCAAATTCTGTTTGAACATTCATTTTCGTAATAGGCTTCGATAACTTTAACATGTGTTTTAACAGAGGACAGAAAGTGTGACACTGAAATCTGAAAGTGCTTGGGGATAGTGAAAGCTGCCTTCCAAAAGATAAGTCTGAGATAGATAGATAGACAGACAGACATGAAATTTGAGATAGATAGATAGATAGATAGATAGATAGATAGATAGATAGAACAAGTGCAACAATTTCAATATCTGGGAAGTGTTTTAACAGGGGGACGGAAAGAGCGATACTGAAATCAGAAGGCACATTAGTGGGTACGTTGTTAGCCTACTGCACAACCTCCCTAACCTGGAGGATCAAGTTTTGAATTCAGAGTTATCTTTCTCCTAGACCAGCTGCCACTCAAGGCTATAGAACCCAGTATGTCCTGCTATTTATCCATAACTGGGGAGGAGAAGAAGGGTATTTGCACCTAAGTGAATGTAATGTATTCGACTGGAATTCGAACTCTGATTCCACAATCCAAGCTGTTATACATTACATCATCGCGCCTCCTCGTTATGTAATATAAATCCTCCTATATGGCAGTGAATCTCAGCACAGATGAAAAGACTTAAAGTAACAGAAATGTAGTTCTACAGAAGGATGCTGGGAATAGCATGGACCGAACATGACGCGATTTTAGAGAACATGGAAACAAAAAGGACACACAATTAACATGAGGAGAAGACAACTGAAATCTCTAGGGCGCATAATGAGGAAAGAGTGCTTGGAAAATTTGATACTCACAGGACAGATTGAAGGCAAGAGGGACAGAGGAAACCAACGCATAACCTACCTACCGAGCTTCAGTAAATGGATGGCGGAACAAAAGATAATATTTTATTTATTAAGAGCTACAAAGGACATGAAATTGTAGAGGGCTTGGAAAATTTGATACTCACAAGACAGATTGAAGGCAAGAGGGACAAAGGAAAACAATGCATAACCTACCTAGCGAAATTGAGTAAATGAATGGCGGAACAATGTTTAGGAGAAATAACAAAAGAAGAGAATTTATTAAGAGCTACAGGGAGCAAGAAATTGTGGAGAGTCATGATCGCCAATGTCCTAAAGGGAGAGGTCAGAAAGAAGAAGAAGAATTAGTTTCACTCAACATTTTACATTTTAATTCTAGGATCTATTTCTGTACTTTGAAATGTTTCATAACAAATCTCACTGTCATGGTTCACTTGAAAGACCCAAATCCCTTGACTTCCATTTCTATAGTCTCCACTCTCCCAAGAAAGTGAATTTTCTGTCAGACATTTAAAATTCTTCGTTAGAGAACGTCAACTAAACGGATGTGAATGTTAATAGAGGTTAATCAGAAAACATTCGACTCTTATCATTCGTGTTGATAATGAAAAGTTTTAATGCCCGAATTGGAGAAGCGTTCAGGAATAGAAAACTTTACTAACAGCTAGCGAGTTATTTTGACAGCTTGTCATAGCAAATTTACTTGCGAAAGGTTAGACCACCCGTAAAGGCCTTAAATATCGTAATATGTATAGCAGAAGATCCGGGGTGGAAATACCTTTAGTCTCATTGCAGTTCAAGTCTAATGCCAGCTCACGTTTAAGATTTATGAGTCTACGTACAATCTGCTAAGTTAATTAGTTTCATCTTTCAAAGCATTGTTCCAAAATATTAAACGTATGTATGTTAAACCTGAAGAATCCCCTGGGAAGTATAGAAGTACAATTTCACCATGCCAAAAAGTCAAGGTTAGAATTAGTGCTTAATTCTATGGATTCTACTCACTAAACATCTGATGTGTATTACTCAACAGTGGATGAATCTAAATTTCATAAATTAGCATAGATATTCTTGTAATATAATTTATGTATATGCATATGTAAAAATTCAGATATAAGTAAAATATATATATCTGTAAAAGGATAATATGAATAAAGACAAAAGAAAAATTATCTTGGCCGAACCGTTTTCGTCCTCTGGTGGACTTTATTAAGGCAAACGAATCTAAACAACATAAAAATAATGACAACTACATACACATCACAATAATAATTCTGAAGCATGTATATATAAAATAAGCTGTTACAACTGCTCCTCACAGTATATTGGGGAAACTTGCAGAAATGTAAAAAAACGTACCTATGAACACAAAAGAGACCTTATACACAACAATTTATCAAATGCATTGGTTATACATAGAAATAAATTCAACAACTTTAATCTATAAAATGCCGCCACACTTATTAAAAAATTAGGTAACTTAGAAGGAAAATTCTCAGTGTGTTTGCTATTGAATCTTATATATATATATATATATATATATAATATTATATGAAAAGATTATTTAACTTTTAAATATCAATTTATCCCGACTTCGAAGTTTCTTGGTAAAATTTCTCGTTTTCATGAGCTGTGGTTTTAAACGGTATTTTCATTTTTTTTTTCAATTATATATATATATATATATATATATATATATATATATATATATATATATATATATAATATCTAATAAACAAAAGTGAGTAAATGCTGGTGTTTAGAAAAAAAGATAATGACATTACTAACAGCAACAATGACAATAAAGCAGATAAAAATAGGCATATAGCACTAACTACTAACTCCTTAGTATGTACTATTCAAAATTTTATCCAGTATTAACAATATCAAAATAATTACAATCACATCTCAAACTATTATGGGCATTATCAGAACAAAAAAATATACATAAGAAAAATAATTCTGAAGCAGTTATTCTAAAATAAACTGTCACAATTGCTCCTTACAATAAGAAACTTGAAGAAATTGAAAACAAATATATCTATGGAGACAAAAAAAATAAATTCAACCATAACTTTGATCTAAAGAATGACACACTTATTAATAGAAAAAATAACTCAGAAGAAAAAATTCTTGAGAATGGCGATATCGAAATTATAAATATGCGACACGGTTTTTTTTCCAAATATCTCCGTTCCTGAAAGAATTACTCTTTTCCCAAGCCAATATACATGACTATAAAAATGTTAAAAAATTAAAATTAGTTAAATTCAAAACCTTATATTATTTAATATATATAATACGGTAATAAATCTCAAACTAAAATAATATCAATAATAATATTTACTCACTTTTGTTTATTAAGGATTAAATTATATCATTTAGCATCCTCCATAATTTACCTGGACTTTCAATTAGCCTGATGTATATTCATGAGCGTTCTTAAATTTCAAAAATACTAACGACATTTTTACTTCTGTTTATAGATACGTGTTGTAAAATAAGATTTGCCTTGATAAAGTTGATCAGAGAACGAAACGCATTGACGAAGATAAGTTTTGTTTTGTTCATATATATATATATATATATATATATATATATATATATATATATATATATATATATATATATATATATATAAAACTTAGATGTATTGATGTGAGTTTGTGAGCCTGGGTTTCACGCCGCTGCGATCGTCACGATCGCAAATTGTGTGAAACCTAGGCTCCCAAACTCACATTAAGTATGTTAACTCTATCACCGATAGATATTGAGTGTTTTCCAATAAGTACCCTTTATATAATATATATAAATAATAAGGAATTTCACATATATATATATATATATATATATATATATATATATTTTATATATATATATATATATATATATATATATATGCATATATATATATATATATGCATATATATATATATATATGCATATATATTATATATATATATATACATATATATATATATATATATATATATTATATATATATATATATATATATATATATATATATATATATATATATATATTTATATTTATTCTATTTTTATATTTTCTCGCAAGTGCTAATACGATGCAAAATCGAAATAGTTTCTTATAAGTGAATTGAGTATTTCCTCTTGATATCAGATGTTTTTGAGATCAATAAAAGCCAGGGTTTTGAATACTGATTTTAAAGGTGGCATGGTTTTTCTTCACTTAGAAAGTTGACGTAATATATTATATAGAGTTACTTATCAGAAATTTAAGTATGTTCTTTCACTCGGGATCATCAATTCTGGACAGGTTCAGAAATAAGAATGAAGACAATAGTCAGAAGTAATCCTATAATGTAGAATGATGATAATTCCCCATCTAAAAATGCTATAATTTTCTCAACTTATCTTATTTTTTGACTATTAAATTTAAAGAATTCAGAACGAACAACAAGCGTCGATTTTCTGTTCCATTTCTCAAGGGATTATTACTGTTGGGGCGCACCCACCTTCTGACTGATAATGGACTTATCCATCTACGATATAAGTCAGTGCTAGAGAGAGTAGTTGTGTCGTGCGAGGATCAGGCCGTTGTGCAAGTTTGTTGAAGGCCTCATGGTTCGCATGCTGCGGGGAAAGTTTTTTGTCCTTGAAGCCTGTTCTGTTTGTAGCAATGTGGTGCCGCAGACGACGAAGGCAGAGCACTATGTGTTCTGTTGCTTGCTAGGGGTCATGAGAGTCGTGATTTGGACGACGCGTCAGAAGGGATTCTATGAGGGCGAGTTGTTCACTTCTTACCAACTGATCTTGTACTTTAAGCATCAGCTTAAAGTCAAGATTAGGACAAAGGCGGCGGCTCACCTCATCAGAATTTGGCAAAAGGTGGGTGAATCTTGCGCGTATGTGCCCGAGTAAAAAGGGGCTGACCTTGAGTGGCATTTGGATGCCGGTTAGGCATTAGGATATTGTTTTCCCGGGTTCAACATAGGCAACCCATCCCAGGAATTAGGTTAGATTAGGTTTTTTATTTTTTTCTTTTTTTAGTTTTTCTTTCCTGTTCTGGTAAACTTAGCTAGGGTGTATTTGCTCATTGGTCCCTTTTTATTTCTGTCCCCATTTTCTTTTCTTTTGTTTAACTCCCATCCCCTCCCTCGTTTAGGTGGTCAGTGATGCAGTTCTCTGGTAGATGCGGGGCGCCTTTCGTTTCGTGTGTGTGTTTTCGTACTTGTTGTTGTGTATGAATGAGTGTGTGCCTGTGTGAATGCTTGGGAAGAATGAGTGTGGTCTTATTTTCATAAGTCCCGCATCGATTTCGTCCGGTTAACTGATATTTCTGCCACATTCAAAAGTTTGTGGGGGGTTTTATTACTAACACTATTTTTGTTTGGTTTCTTGTAAATATATTTTGTCATTTTGTATATATTCATTGGGGATCTTTTTTAGAAATTTTTGTTTTTTATGCC